ATCAAAAGTTTGGAAAAATAATTGTTTTAATGTTTTTGAAAGTCTCTTATGCTCACCAAGGCTGCATTTGTTTAATTAAAAATACAGTAAACACAGTAATATTATCAAACATTATTACAATTTAAAATAACTGTTTAAATATATTTAATATATGTTAACATATATAAAGCATATTTACTGTTTAATATATATATATATATATATATATAAAATAAAAAAAATACTATATATAATATAAATGAGCAAGACAAATTAATAACAGTAATATAAGCAAAGTGTTACAGTATTGATGGCTTGTGTCATTTAAGGTAAATTTATGCAAGTTCACTTTAGGATTACTAATTTGCATTTATGTTTGTAAAGTCATATCACGTATTGGAAAAACTGTAGGGTTTTTCCTTTTGCTTTCCGGATCTGTTATCATCCCAAAAAAACATTTAAGCTATTCCCTCTGAACCTTTTTTGGGGGAGATTTTAAGATCCCTCTCTCCCTGGCCTATTTTACCATTCTCGCTTCTCAAACTCGCTTCTTTTCGCTTCTCAAACTCGCCAAGATGCAGTTAAACTTTATATCCCCAAACGCACGGAAAATAAACCCACACAAATGTTTTGACATCCACTCTGATCATTAAACACGTCTGCGTATGGGTTTTCCTGATGGAGCATGTCCGTATCCAGACCACCCGATACGGGGCGTACCATCTCGTGCGTGTCATAGAGTTACATTAGCCCTGATCAACAGAGCCTCATTTTTCTGAGGAAGTGTTTACGCGGCTCTCGCAGGCTTTCCGTGGGCTTGTTTATGAGCTCTTGTGTCTGTCTGGCTTCTTTCCATCTGACATTCCTCTAAAGCTTCTTTACAGCATAAACACTGAGGGATCATGGGCCATTACACTTGTATTATACTTGCATGAGGGCTTATTTTAATCACAGGCTTTGCATTTGTACCACATTCACTCCATCCATCAGTGAAAAGACTCTTGAACATTTCTGTCAGATTTACTGCTTGAGTGTTTGAGCGCAATTCTTATCTTATCCTTCAGACGTCTGAAACATGTTAAAATGCTGTGCTTGGCGTATAGTAATGTGTATGAGAAACTTTGAGGGGAAGAAAATAGTTGAAATCAGATTTGAACTGAATCTCCTGCAGGAACAACAAAGCTCAACTGTTTATATATATATATATATATATATATATATATATATATTAGGGCTGCACGATAAATCGCATGCGATATTTAATGCGCATCTTGTCAGAAAGCCGGTTCTGTAATCAGCGGTAAATCTCCATCACCTGCGGGCTTTCACATTGAGCAGCATTAAC